AGATGGATGTCACAGGACCAGTGTACACGGGCAACCTTTAATTCCTGGGACTGGCGGCGGCGGGAGGAGATACACAGGGTACTAAGGGAGTGCACAATGGGAGCCAGGTGAGGCTGGGGGCAGAGTGCTCAGCTCCACCCAGGGCTAGCAGCAGAGGTCACCCTGGGAGAATGTGGACTGGCAGAGCCTGGCTCTTCAGGGCAGGTCAGGACATGGGCCCAGGAGGGAGCCATGGGCCCTACTGATTTCAGCAGGCACCCTGCCAGCAGCCACCTGGCTGTGCCCGGGTCCCAGGGGCAGTGGGAGGAGCTGGCCCAAGGCAGGAGAGGGCAAAAGAGCAATAAAAATTTTAATTAAAGGGAAGGACCTTTTGGAGGAAAGGAGGGAAACTGACCAGTCTTACTGATCAGCTAGTGTGTGCCTGATACCAGCCCTGCATCTGGCAGACCACCTTCATAGCTCTTTAAGGCAGGTGCCCCCAGGTTACAGCAGAGGAAACCAACACAGGTTGAGCAAACTCCCAAGGTCTCCAAAGAAGTTGGAGCCATTCTCCTGAGTCCCAAAGTAGATTCTGACCAAAACTCTACCCAGGTATCTGGTGACCCACCAGAGAAATTTCTCTCAGCCCCAGACCAGCAGTGTTATGTCTCTCCTGGGCAGTAGGTCTGTGTTTTCTTGAGAAACAGCATGGATTTTAAAGTTCATCTTTTTTCCTTCTTCCCATTGGCCACTAGGAGGCCCACAGTCGATTCTTGGCCTGTCTTAACACAGACTTTTTGTCACAATGTCACTCTTGGTTCAATCTTATTCCTCTATTTGCTTGTACTTTCTCCCTCCCATTTTTGTAAAGTCTTTAGGCCCTGTTTCTGTTGGTTTATTCCCAAAATATTTTTCAGTATAATCTGACTCAAGCTATTATATGCAGCTTCATTAAGCCATCTTCAGCCTCTTCGGCATTCATCACATCTCTGGCCCATTCTTCCCTCTCTGCACAGACACTTCCTCTGGCTCCTCATGCACAGCGCCTGGGTGAGGCTGCCGCCGCTCTCCAGTCTCACTCTCTCCCCATTTAAGCTCCCACCACAATCTAACCAGCACTCTAGAATCCAAATCACAGCGTCCCAGGAAACAGATAGTTTCTCAGCTTGGTATGAGCCGCTGTGTCATGGGTTGGTTCACAGAGCAGAAATACAGCAGCAGAGTCATCTTTGCAAGGTAACTCCCAACTCCTCACCCTAGCATTGGAGGCCCCTGAAGACTTGTGGGCTGCCTCCTCTTCCCACGCAAGACCTTCTGCTGGTCCACTTCCTGCTCCAGATGCTCCCTTGCATTGCCACACTGAGCTCTCACTCAGCCTCCTCCCTCCCCTGAGCACTCTCTCCCTTCCTCCTGCTCCATCTGTCCTAGGTGGGGACCAGACCAAAGGCTGTTCCTCTCCCCAGCTTGCTTCACCCACCCTCCCAAATCTCACCCTGTCCTTGGCTCCAGTGCCTCACCATTCACCGGCCTTCCTCACCTCCTGACGTTGCACTGTAGGACTGCACTAGGGGACTCAGGGGCAGGGGAGGGGTAGCAGTGCCGGGGGTTGGCGTTGGTAGCATGGAACAGGTGTCCAGTGTCTGTTGAGTGCAGAAGCAGATTCTGCCAGATCATGAGCTTGCTCTTATTAACTCACACATACACTCCATTGGGACCACCGGGCAGCAGCCTGTTTGCCTGTGCTCATCTCAGTTCCTGGAAGCACTAGGAAGAAGAGCGCTAGTTTTCTGGGCCATGCGCATGCAAGCACAGTCCTCCGTGAGCATGTGTGCACACGCAAATGCGTGTACCAGGACACAGCCCACACAGACTCCCAGAAGCATTCACACCAAAAACCGCTATGTTGTCACCAAGTACAGAACTCAAGCCCACAACCTAAAGACTCAGATATCCTCTCCACAACATGCTCCCCAAAGGGGGAGCCAAGTTTGTATTGTGACTGTGCAAATGCTCCTTCCCAAGGCTGGCAAGCCCTGTCCATCAGGGCTTTCAGGCTCTGAACATCTGAGCAAAGCCTGTGGGGATGAGATTATTGGCACTCGGGGGACTGAAATTCCAGGGTCTTTCCCACTGTACGTTCGCAGCTGTAAACCCCACTCCCCAGGAGCTCCTTCTGGGGTTTTCACACTGCCTTCCGGGGCCTTCCCTGCCAATCAATTTTAGAAAGAATTGAACCAGAGATCCTGGCCAGAGGATGGAACCGGTTAGACCTGCTTGACAGTCTCTGCAGCTGCAGTGTGGGAGTCTGAGCTCTGGGCTAAGTCTAAGACTTAATTCCTTCCAGGTTGCTTCTGGGAACGTTTCTTCAGCTCCTGTTTTCCTTCTTGTAAGGCCTAGCCCCAGACCCTGCAAGGGACCAGAGACGGCTCAGACTCGGCTATCCTGCAAGAATGCACACCTTCCTGGAAGACATGGAGTCCTCCAGCCACACCAGCATAATCACCACAGCCAACACTTAACACACACACACACACACACACACACACACACACCATACATCACAAATCAGCTCGAGCTCAAAAGGTCCCTCCAGAAACCAGAAGTGGGCTAGATGGTCCTCAGTTTACTAAAAGGTCATTGAGGTTCAGAGAGGTGAAGTGTTTTGTCTATATCCCTTAGCCAGTAAGGAGGGGTTGGTTATAAAACGGGTCTGCCTTCCCTGGCTCCACAACCTGAGTTTCTTCTAGGCCCCCATCCCAGCTCCAAGAGGATTTCAGAGGAAGGAAGATGCCTGCTTCTAGGAGTGATTGCTGGAATAAGTTCAGCTCAGGAGAAGCTATGGCGTCCTGGGAATCCCAGGCAAGTTTCAGGGTCACTGCGACCTGAGCAGCAGAAGACATAGAGTGACACAGGGCAGGGCAAAGGCTGATGCTACAGTGCCTTTTAGACAATGCTTAACAATATGGAATGTGTCCTGAAGGTGAAGGGGAGCCATAGGTGGTTTTGGAGCTGGACAACTTCCCAGCATCTCAAAAAAATTTTAATTTAAATGCAATGTCTGCAAAGGAACACATATGTTTTCAGAGGAAGATGCACAGTGGTCTGAGGGGAATGTTCTCCTCAGAGTCAAGTTTCATGATGTAAAATCCCAGCAGTACCTGCCAGGCCAGTCTCAAATTCACCCATCATCTAACCTGTGGCTTCAGAAAGTATAATGGTTGAAAACATAAACTCCAGATTCAGACTGCCTGGGTTTGAATTCAAGCATGACCACTTGCTGGGTGTACATCTTTGGGCAAGTTGTTTAACTTGCCTGTGATTCTGTTTCCTCATCCTGAAGACAAGGACAATACCTTTCTATCTCGTACGGTTACTGTGAAGCTTATGAGAGCTTATAGTTGTAAAATATTTAACAGTTCCAGGCACAGGGAAAGTGGCTGTCAAATAAGTATGGTAGAGTCTACAGTCTCTGATGTATCAAAGATGAAATCAGGACAAGTTTGATATGGGGTGTTCCTAACAATTTCGTTCTTTATTTTTTTTTTTTTTTGGTTTTTCTCTGGTACCAGGAACCAAACTCACAACCTTGCGCTTGCCAGGCAGGCGCTTTGCCGCTGAGCTAAATCCCCATCCCCAACAATTTCGTTCTCAGTCGCATTAACAGTCAATTCCCTTGCTTCCTAAAGCTATCCATTTAATAATATGCCCTGGAATTTTCAACCACACAGATCTAAAACCAATAGAATGACTCTAGAACATATCAATTATTTCATAAATTTCAGCCTAGTGTCTCTACACATTCAGAGCTGGTTTTGTGGGGTCTTTTTACTCTTTTTAGTCTGGTAAACTCTCCTTCCTTGTGTAAACAGAGGGAGCGCGGGTCACCCAAGAGAAGATGGCAGAGCCATTATTTTTAGAGACCTCAGGCAAAAGAAAGGATTTGGGGCACATGGTGTCCGTAACCTAAATGCTATGTAATTTCCTAGTATATAAGAGTATCAACCTTAAGGTGACCCCACTGACCTTGAAAGAGGCCCTGGCTTGACAGGTCAACAAACAGGCAAATTCAGGTCTGCTTCAGAAGTCATCTGAGGGCCGGAGCAATCTCTGGCCAGGGACCTTCGCACTTAGCTTCTACCCTTCAACCTCCTCCAAGTCACCCCAGTGCCTTATCTCAGCTGCTTGGACTGCCAAAGCCACAGTTTAAGTAGAACTGAAATTTGAAGCATTGCTGTTCTCTGGAACAAAGTCTGACTGATGACTTGTTTATTTTGCAAACAAGGGCTTGCTTCTGGCAGCACAGATACTAAAATTGGAATGATTTTGCAAACAAGGCAATGACTCGATCGGAGGTAAGTTTTTGGAAGAGGACCTTGACAGTCTTGGAGGGATAAGACGGGGCCAGGAAAATGTGTTACAGGACTCTAGGAAATGACCAAGAAAGACTAGGGGCATTGCTGGAGAGTGCCCTGCAAGGGACTATAAAAGCAATCTTGTCCCTCACAAGATCAGCTTGTTTCTCCAGAACTGGAACAGCAAAGACTTCAAGGAGTTCACCTGGCCCTTAGCAGGTGTCGCAGAGAAATGTTCTCTCCAGCTCTGCTTGGAGACAAGACTCCTCCGACTTTATTTGTCCTGCTATGAAATGAGCCCAGTGACGTGTATGGCTGGTCCCTTCTCAGATGAGGGAAAAATCCAAAGTCTTTAGAGGAATGCAAGGGGTGAATAGGATGTGTTTTGATTTCCCAGCCCAATAACCACAGCAAATATCCTCTCCAAGCATGTCCACCTCCCTTCATCCAGGTTCTGCTCTTAGAATACTTTCCAGTGAAACGATGTAGTAACCAGGTAAAGACAATTTTGACTGGAGGACACTGAACACAGTCTTCTGTAGGTGTTTACAAAGCGTGTACAACGCGTAGCCTGCTCACCAGACCCAGCAGCAACTTAAAACGAGACAGCTGTTGACTTGGTTAAAGTTAAAAAAATCATCACAAATGTCACATTCAGGGATGTTATTTCTTTATTTAAAAAAAACTCCTCCAGGGGACGAAAGTATTTGCGAGGCTTTCTTCTCAGCTCAGAAAGAAATGGAGGGAGGAGCGGGGTTAAGGGATTGTTTTGTGCTGTGTTTGGTTTTTTGTTTTGTGTTGCTGCATGAAGTCAGAGCTGGGAGAAGTGTAAATTAGAGCAAGAGGAAGGTTGGAAAGCTGATGGGACACTGCTTAGCTGTACGGCCTCAGAATCTTCAGAAGAACGTTCTAGATCACCCTCCTACTTCTCATTTAGATGTCAGCCTCCTCTTTCTCCTCACAGATACTGGAATGTGTCCTCACTGCAGTCCTGATGGTGTAACAAAAATCAGTGGAACAAGAGTTAGGACTCTATTCAACAAGAAGGACACTAGCCCCAAAACAGAGTAGAGAAACCCCAAGTGGAGTCTGCTGAGTCAGGACCCTCCTGGGATCTCACAAAACCATCTGCCAGGTGTCCTCTGACTATGGGGATCTCCCCAAAATTTGAGCAAACAGGACACTTACTCAAATACGCATGGGCCCTGCATAGGTGCTATGTAAACACTGCATAAGTTGGACCCTAAAAAAATATGATCTCCTATAGAATAGAGTTATATTGCTTACACAACAGCATGAGCTCCCATCTAAACCCTTTAAAAACCTCTAGATCAGTGAGAATGAATCTTTTGGAGCTTTCAGTGATACAAACAACCTGTTGAGGCACAAATGCTGTAGGTTCACCACCACTGCTCCAAACAAAGAGCCTTCATGGGTATCCTACTCACAGCCCCTCCTAGTTAGTGGAAGCTCAACTTCTTTGCCTTTGTATTTTTTACTTTTCTGCCCTTGTATGTTTTACTTTCTTGCCTTTATATCTTTTAAATAAATATGCTTACACCCTACCTCCTCCATCCACGTTTACATTCATCACCACGGGACATGGTCCCGGTGTTCCAGGAACAATGGCACACAAGAGGATAATACACAAGCTTTTTAAAAACAAATTTTGCAGTATGGATTTTTAAGAGTTCCAAAAAATAGAGGGAAAAGAGATAGTATAGACAGATATACAGATGATAAATAGAGGATATATAGCTGATAGATACATATATGCATAGATAAATATATATAGAGAGAGAGATAGGAGAGAGAGAGAGAGAACTGATAAATAAATGGAAACCAGGAACTCAAGTGGTTTTTATTTGCAGTACTGGGGATTCAAACTAAGAAGGCCTTCACACTCAGCTAAATCCCCAGTTTTCATATATATATAAATTTTTTTGAGACAAGGTCTTGCTAAATTGCTAAGTTGACCAGGCTGTGTTCTAACTTGTGATCCTTCTGCCTCAACCTCCCAGGGTATGGGATTCCAGGCATGGGTCACCACACCCAGATGACCGCAAACTCTTATAGATATCACCCCTTTCCTCTATAAGCACATATTACTCAGTACATTTTCATTTAACCACGTATGGGGTTGTTGAGGTCCTACTAAGTATCAGGCATCATTCACGGTGCTTAGGAATATCAGCGAACAAAACAGTCATCAGACAATGACCTCATAAAGCTAAGAGCTGGGAGAAAATAAGCAGTAAGTGAAGAAAAAAATCCAATATTCCAAGGGAAAATAAGCAATAAATGAATTTTTAAAATCCAGTATTCTAAGATGATTAGTAAGTGCTATAGGAAAAGGAAAGGAAAGGAAAGGAAAGGAAAGGAAAGGAAAGGAAAGGAAAGGAAAGGAAAGGAAAGGAAAGGAAAGGAAAGGAAAGGAAAGGAAAGG